TAAACCCTAAACCCTAAACCCTAAACCCTTGGAGCTCAGCTCTCCTGGGAGGCAGGAGGATGCCAGGGAGGCCGGGGTTTATGGCAGGGAAGGCTTTTGGGTTGCCTTGAGGGGTTTAGGGTTTAGGGTTTAGGGTTTAGGGCTTCGGGTTTATGAAGGCTCTTGTCTAGGGTTGGGGCTAGGGTTTCTCTTGGTGTTTTTGTTTGTAAATCAGCTTTTTCAGGCGTTTCGAAGTTGTTTCAGGCCCTGAACCCTAAACCCTAAACCCTAAATCCTAAACCCTGAACCCTAAACCCTAAACCGGCCTGAACCCTAAACCCTAAACTCTTGCCAATGTCTCCTTCACCTTGTTCTTGCCCGAGCCACCACCATGGGCCTGCTAAGCACCCTAAAAGTCCCACTCTAAACCTTAACTTCATGGGTTCCCCTACCACCCGGTTTAGGTTTTAGGGTTTAGGGTTCAGGGTTTAGGGTTTAGGGTGTAGGGTTTAGGGTTAGGGTGTAGGGCTACTACTACTGATAGCCCCTAACCCCAAAGACCTTGTAGTGCCCCAGCATTATAAGGTTTGGGGTTTAGGGTTTAGGGTTTCGGGTTTCCTAAACCCGAACACCCAGAGATTGCCTATCAAATATACAAACCCTGTGAACAACAAGTGCAAACCCCAAGGTAATCACTGTAGGACCCTAAATAGACCTTCAAACCCCTGAAGCAACAAGAGGGGCTCCACTTATCGTCCGTGTTTTCGGCAGCGGTGGTCGCAGGAAGGCGCGGCCATTTGATGAGCCACCGGAACACGTATCGGAGTGCCAAGCTCTTAGCTGTAAGCGACCCAAAACCCTAAACCCTAAACCCCAAACCCCGAACCCGGCTGACAGCCTTCGACGAGTTCGTGACCTCGGCGAGCAGATCTGAAAAGGGTGTTCAGGACGGCGCGGCTCTGGCCCGCCTACGATGGTGATTTGGGGTTGAAGCCCTAAACCCTAAACCCTGAACCCTAAACCCTAAACCCTAAACCTTAGACCCCTAAACGCAAATGGTGTCCTACAGCCGTTGTCACGCTGGACCTCGATAGCCTGCCATACAGCCTGACCCTACAACCAAAACCCATGAAGCTCTCGACTTAAACCTGGGATTTAGGGTTTAGGGCTGCAGTACAGCCCTAAGCCCGACACGTCCTGAACCCAAAGCCCTCTCACTTCAAGCAACTGTTGAAACACAACAGAAAACGACCTCCTAAAATTTTGAAAATCAAGCCCTGAAGTCCTGAAAACCTTGAAACCTTTAAACCCGCAAGTCGTGCCCGAAGCCCCCGCAGCCCCACCCTAAACCCTAAACCCTCAACCCTGAAATCCTCATTGTCAACCCCATACACCCTACAGCCTAAACCCCTTGAAAACAGCTTGGAACCTTCAAACCTTGTGTCCTGAAGCTCTTAAGCCTTTAAGCCCCTAAAACCTTTCACCCTGCATGAACCCTGTACTGGGGATTGAAATTAGTCATTGTTGGGGTCCTGTTGTTATGTGGAGGCTGACCCCAAAAACCTCGACCCTCAAACCCGAAAGCACTTAATCCCAAGCCCGAGAACCCAAATTCTAAAGCCGTACAACCCCAGACCGTGAACCCTACAAACTTAAGACAACCCTGAACCTTGAAGCATGAACCCTAAACCCTAAATCCTTAACCCTGAACCCTAAACCCTAAATCCTAAACCCTAACCCTAAACCCTAAACCCTAAACCCTAAACCCGGAGGCAAGCTTCAGCAGCCTTGGCGAGCTGAACGCTATCGGGACAAGGATGCCCGGCGCTGGGTTCAGGGCTTGGGGCGTAGGGTTCAAATGAGGTTTAGGGTTTAGGGTTTAGGGTTTCGGGTTTAGGGTGTAGGGCTAGGGTTTAGGGCGAGGGGTTTGGGGTTTGGGGTTTAGGGTCTAGGGCTAGGGGTTTGGGGTTTGGTAGGGTTTAGGATTTGGGGTTTTGTAAGGGTGCGAAGTTTATGGCCAAAACAGGGTTTTGGCCTTTAGGGTTTTCAGGTCTTATGAGGCTTAGGGTTGTTTTTGTTGTTCTTTCCTCGTGCATGGTCCAACTGCTGGGGCTCATCTTCAAATGTGCTGTAGGGGTTGGGTTTGGGGTTTCCTTACAGCTTAGATGCCCGTATCCAAAGCCTTCAAAGGGTCCTTCTCCCCAAGCTTCCCTGAGGTTCCCTAGGCGGCCCCGTGAACCCTTTGCCCTGAAGCAGGATCCTCCATAGTCAAAGGCCTTCGACGCCTCAAATCTCCTGGTCCCAGGGTTCAGGGTCCAGGCCCTGCAAAACCTAAACCCTGAACCCTCAAACCCTAAACCCAAAACCCGGAGCCCTGTACCCCAAACCCTAAACCCTAAACCCTTCTTCTCTCTTTAGGGTCTCGGGGCTAGGGTTTAGGGTTTAGATATGTTGAGCACGTCCCCGAAAGGTGGATGTAGATGCCCCGGCCACGCCACAGAAGTGACCCCAACCCCCTAAGCCGTGAAGCTAAGCCCTAAACCCTAAACCCTAAACCCTAAACCCTAAACCCTAAACCCTAAACCCTTCTTCAGCTGAGGTTTCCAAGAACGAAGCGACCTACTAAAGTAGCTTCAAGCCCTCAAGCCCAACCCTGGCAGGTTTAGGGTTTAGGGTTTAGGGTTTAGGGTTTAAGGTTTAGGGTTTAGGGGTTAGGGCCTACGCGGTTTCGGATTTAGGTTTTTGGGCTTTGGCCCTGAACCCGGAAGTGGAAGATCGTAAGCCCGAAACATCCAAGCCACGCGACCCCCGCAAACCCTCCACTTGGAGGTTCATGGTACTCAGATTTGGGTTTAGGGTTTAGGGTTTAGGGTTTAGGGTTTAGAGTTTAGGGTTTAGGGTTTAGGGTTTGGGGTTCGAAATTATAACTGCATTTATAGCCCAATTCTGAGTCCCCTAAGCCTCGCTACCTAGGCGATAAGCGGTTTCTAAGTACAGTTATCACTGCTTACTAAGTACCATGAACCTCCAGGTACCTAGACCTCTAGTTGCAGGTCCCTTGTTTACTAGATACGCCCTTGGGATATTTTATATGTTTCCCTTTGCGGGTTCAGAGGGTCATATTCAGAAGTGTTTTTTCAGAAATACTCATCAGAGGGTTGTATGGGCCATCCTAGCTACCTGGACCTCTAGTTGCAGGACCTTCGTTGGGGTGAGCAGCTTAGCAGTAGTGTTTGATGTGAAGATGTTTGTGCCCAGAAAAAGAGCAGGTACCCTAAACCCTAAACCCTAATCCCTAAACCCTAAACCCTAAACCCCAAACCCCAAACCCCAAGCCCCAAACCCTAAACCCTAAACCCCAAACCCTAAACCCTAAACCCTAAACCCTAACCCTAAACCCTAAAACCTAAACCCTAATTCTGAAGCATAAGCCCTGAAATTTAAACCCTAAACCCTAACACCTAAACCCTAAGCCCTAAGCCCTAAACCCTAAACCCTAGCCCCTCGGAACACTCTCAATGGCTCTTTGCCTGCTGCAAGGTTGGAGAAGCAGGCAGCCTCCAAAGTGTCCAGGAGAGTTTGGGGTTTCGGGTTTAGGGCTTTAGGGCCTTAAGGCTTTAGGGCTTTAGGGCTTTTGGGTTTTAGGGCTTTCGGGCTGTCGGGCTGTTGGGCGTTAGGGCTTTAGGGCTTTGGGGCTTTGGGTCTTTAGGGCTTCATAAGGCTTCAGGGCTTTAGGAGATCTCTTCCTTGCGGAACGCAGTGGTGCTTTAGGGTCCAGGGCGGCTGAGGTTCAGGATTGAGGGCTGTGCCTGAACAGCACCAAGGCCATGTTGCCGTAGCTTGCCTACAAATCCTGCAAGAGCTCAGGGTTTAGGGTTTAGGGTTCAGGGTTCAGGGTTTAGGGTTTAGGGTTTAGGGTACAGGGTTCAGGGTTTAGGGTTTAGGATTTTGCAAGAATTGCCTTCTGTTTTGGTAGCCCCAGGGCCTCCGTCCGAATTCATACTTCGATCCCTACACACCTACCTTGGGCTTGCCAAACCCGAGAAGCACGCCTAAAGCCAAGCAAGCCTACAGACCCATCGGTCTAGGGTTTAGGGTTTAGGGTCTAGGGTTTAGGGTCTAGGGTTTAGGGTCTAGGGTTTAGGGTTTAGGGTCTAGGGTTTAGGTACCCGAAGCCACAACACAGCTGACCACAATCCTGTTTCTGCATGTGCCTTACATCCCCCACAGCCCCTTCTTTCCACGGTGAGCCTACATGCTTCGTGTTTATGGGTTAGTTGCTCCACCGATATCCCACCCTCATAGCCCTGATACACGCCACACGCCGTAGAAACCCTGCAAACCCTGTCAATCCTGTAAACAACCATGTAACCCCTCAAAACCCTGGAACCCCCTGTAAACCCTGTCAACCCTAATCCCTAAACACATGCCCTCAGGCGGTGGAAGAGCTGCTATAAAAACTCAATGCCCACTTTTCTTCAGGTTCTGAATGTATAACCCTTGAAGTTCTTCGGGTCTAGGGTTTAGGGTTTGGGGCGTAGGTTTTGGTTGGTTTCTTATAGATAGGGCTTAGAGTTTGAGGAGGGTACTTGGTCAAGTGTGGCACCGCTTTGAATGGGGCCTGCGCGTTTAGGGGTCTTGGGGTTTAGGGTTATGTGGGCCCCTAAACCCAATTTTAATAAACCCTAAGCCCTAAACCCTCAGCCCTAAACCCTAAACCCTAAAACCTAAGCCCTAAACCCTAAACCCTAAACCCTGGCTTTAGGATGGAGTCTGTACGCAAGCATTCCTTGCTGCAGCTTTGCCCCTCCGAAGTGAGAGAGCCAACGTGGGATTCAGGGGAGGATCTAGGATATTCGGGCCTCGATAGCTATACTAGGTTTTGGCCCCTTAAAAAATAACTTTCACCCTAAACCCTAGACCCTTACTAACTAAGCCCTAACCACGACGACTTTCGGTTCTCAGTTGTTCACGGACACCCTGAACGAAGCGATTGATTGCGTGGGGCTAGATGTCGCGTGATGACGCGGGGCGGCCTCAACTACAAGCACCTCCGAGCAGCAGCGGTGATCCTTAGTAGCTGAGTGAGCGCACTTTACACTTTTTGGGATACTACAATCCCCTATAGAACTGAAAGTTTACATTTTTGGGGGGCTTATGAACTCAGCAACTAAGGATCATTGTGACCCCTTTGGCTCTCGGCCTGTACTTCGTCAATACGATCTATGCCTCTGCAATCCTGGTGATCTGTTGCTACTGGGTCTTGGAGTACGTACTATACTTTAATACTTTTTTTGGCCTTGGGCTCCGATTATAGCTAGTTATACCTAAAAAGTATCTATTTTTTTCAGGGTCTACTCCAAAGATAAGGCTACATGTGGGGCCACGTCCTGTTGCGGAGGCAGGTGACCCCATTCCCTGTTCTACTGCGGGGCGCCGCAGCTGCTCTCATGCTGCTGCTATATCTCCCTTTTGGAATTATTCCTTATCTTTGTTTATATAAAACCCAAGAGGATACTAGAAATATTGTGTTTATTAAGGTTCTAGGGGGAGTATAGGCTGTGCACCACTTTCATCACGGCGATGCCATGGCTAGTCTTTGGTGGGATTCAAGGGTGCCGCGAGTTCGATCCTACGATGAAGACCATTTTCGGATACGCGTTTGAGGAGTTCTGGAAAGGCTTCTGGATCCGTGTTGCAGCACTTTGGCTGATTACCGGAGTTGCCCTGTTCCTAAGCATAGCCGAGCACCTGCCGTCATCATACATCCGGGACTGTGTCAGATGTTGCCTGTTCATCTACGCGGGCGTAGTTGCCAGTGCTGTTGCGGAAGCTCTGATCGCCTGCCGCGGCACGGATCTTGACAACGATGGGTACCTGTGTCATAGTTTTATGTACCATTTTACCTTTTTAAGGGTACTTAAACCCAGTAAGGACTACACATTAACATTTTTAAATAGCATCCCAACCATGAACTAGGTACAGGGACAGCTCGATCGACGTCGGTGCCAGATCGCTCCAAGCCGGGATGTTCGTTTTCGGGAGGCTCACCTTTTTCATGTCTGGCATCTGGTGCCTCGGTAGGCCCTTGGGATCTTGTGCGTTTTTCCTTTTTTAAAAAAAGATTTGGGGGGGGGGGGGGGGGTTGGGGTTAAGAGGATCGTAGTTAGGAATATTTCCAGAGGGCTTTTAGTTGCCATCCGAGGTACATTCAGATTGTGATCAAGAAGCTGCAGGCCCTGGAGCAGGCATTCGGAGAGGCCCTGCCTTGGTCTAAGGCCATGAAGCTTGGGGATACTTTGGGAATATTTTTTAAAAAGTTTGTTGGGTACTGTATTTCCTAAGAAATACAGCTGAAATTATACTAACTTGTTTGCCGTAATTTCCTAAGAAGCAGCTAATAAATTATACAAATCTTTGCTGGGGGTTCCAGGTTCAGTCTAGGAAGTGGCTGTCTCATTGTCTGGTCCTCTGGCAATGGTCGATTGTCCTGCTGGCCTCCACAGTATATGCCCCCTGGGTTCTGTTCCTCCTCAGTATCTGGGTAGGTTCGTGGGACTTTTTTTTCCCTTATTGGGTTTAAGAGGACCATGTTCAGGAATATTTTCGGAGTGTTTTAAGGGCCATCCTAGGTATGTGTGGCACTCTGAACATCATCTTGCTGATCGGCGCGAAAATGAGGGCGCTGCGCCTTCCCCTCCGGGCCCTGCAGCAGGCCCGACAATTCGCGAGCCGGGACGATGCGATGACGGAGAAGACGGCCCTTGCAATGAGCGTTCTACGCCGCATGCAGCTCGCCATCTTGCTGGGCAACATGTCCATGGTAGCCGGGTTCCTGGCAACTATATCCCCCTTGGGAATTATTTTGTATTTTTGTTTCTCTAAAACCCAAGAGAATACTAAACATGTTTTTTTTATTATTAAGGTTCTAAGGGGAAGTATAGGCAATGGGGCTTGGCTTCTTTCTCGACAGCACCCTGATGACCATGGTGAGCGACTATGCGTCGATCCTCGACGTGACGGCGAACGCAATTAGCCTGACACTTCTCGCCAGTGGCTCCCTGAGCCTTGGGAGCCCAGTGGAATTTTTTCCCCCCCCCCCCCCCCTCCCCCTTTTTGAGGGGGGGAGGGGGGGTGGGGGGGGCTTCAAGGTTCCCTGATAAAGTAGCCCTAAACCCTAAACCCTAAACCCTAAACCCTAACCCCTTTCTAGAATATGGTTTCTGGGCTCCCAAGGAGCTTGCCAAGATGTTACAGCTGGAGGCTGCGCGCGCTCTCTTCCCAGGCTCGGCCGGTGATTCGAGCGACGCAGCAGGACCTTCGGGGGTTTGAAAGGTTTAGGGTTTAGGGTTTAGGGTTTAGGGTTTAGGGTTTAGGGTTTAGGGTTCAGGGTTTAGGGTTTAGGGTTTAGGGTTTAGGGTTCAGGGTTTCGGCTATATGTCGTGTTTGCTTCTGACTATGAACTGCTTGGTAACTACTTGCTCCTGATGACTTTGCTACGCTCCATGGGTATTGGAAGGCTAACAGCTTTGACTGCGTTCCCCTTTTCGCCGTTTGTCTGGCAGCACTGCGTGCTTGCGTGCATGGATGGTCTCCCTGGTTCTTCGTTGGGAATGAGGGAATGAGGTACTGCATATACTCCTTTAAAGGGTATACATGGGGTACCTCATTCCCTACTAAGAACTAGGGAGTTGTTAGTTCAAAGAGAGCCCAAAGCCCTAACTAAACCCTAAACCCTACACCCCAAACCCTAAACCCTAAACCCTAAACCCCAAACCCTAAACCCTAATCCCTAATCCCTAAACCCCAAACCCTAAACCCTAAACCCCGTAAAGCGCATCGCACAGGAACGATTGGAGTGCTCCTGCGGGTCTCTGTCGGTTGCAGCCCAGCTCTCGCGCAGTAGGGTTTTCGGCTTCACGGGCGAATTTGTTTGGGGTTGAGGGTTTAGGGTTTAGGGTTTAGGGTTTAGGGCTTCTCCTCAGCTGAGGCCAAGACGCTGTCCGATCAAGTTGGACGTCGGCTCTCTGGCACCTCCCGACGGCGAGTTGGCTCTGCGATCGCTTGCGAAAGATGCTCTTGGGATGCCGTGGTGCAGGAGATAGCAGGTCCGGGGTTCAGGGTTTGGGGTTTACGGTTTAGGGTTAGGGTTTAGGGTTTAGGGTTTAGGGTTTAGGGTTTAGGGTTTAGGGTTTAGGGTGTAGGGTTTAGGGTTTAGGGTTTAGGGTTTAGGGTTTAGGGTGTAGGGTTTAGGGTTTAGGGGTCCCCTGGGGGTTCAAGACGGCTGTAATTCAGGAATATGTTTCAGAGTGTTCTAGCTGCCATCCTAGAAATGGGGATCATGCTTCCTACTATGAGCTGGGATGTTCCCCCTTCTACTAACAGTCCTTAAGAGGGATGATAGTAGCCCCGATTGTATTCTGAACCCTAAGCCCTAAACCCTAAACCCTAAACCCTAAACCCTAAGCCCTACACCCTAAACCCTAAACCCTAAACCCTAAACCCTAAACCCTAAACCCTCGAGGGTTCATCCCTGGAAGGTCGGCGAGTGTCCGTTCTTCAGCTCCTGGACTTCTACGCCAGCCTCGGCTCCTCGGCTTTCTTCTGGCTGGCTCTTAGGGTTTAGGGTTTAGGGTTTAGGGTTTAGGGTTTAGGGTTTAGGGTTTAGGGTTTAGGGTTATTTAGGGTTTGGGCTTTCTAGAATAAGGAACCTAGAAGTCAAATTTTTCAGGAGCTTAGGGTTTAGGGAAGTTTAGGGTTTAGGGTTTAGAGGGTCACTGTTCTAGCATTCATAGTCATTAGGAGGTTCTAGGCTCAGAAAAAAACCTACCCGCCCAAAGAATCCCATAACATTAAGAAAATAAAAGGTTTCCATCCTACTGGGAATCGCCTGAACATTGGGGTCAGATGGGCCGAAATCGCCCCAACATGGGGTCAGATAGGTCGAAATCGCCCGAACATGGGGGGCCCCAATGTTCGTGGCTTTTCGACCTGGCCGAAAAGTCACGAACACTGGGGTCAGATTGGTCGGAATCGCCCGAACATGGGGGTCAGATAGGCCGAAATCCCGAACATTGGGTCAGATTGGTCGAAATCGCCCGAACATTGGGGGCCCCAATGTTCGTGGCTTTTTGACCTGGTCGAAATCGCCCGAACATTGGGGTTAGATTGGTCGAAATCGCCCGAACATTGGGGTCAGATTGGTCGAAATCGCCCGAACATTCGGGTCAGATTGGGCGAAATCGCCCGAACATTGGGGTCAGATTGGGCGAAATCGCCCGAACATTGAGGGGCAGATGGGTCGAAAAGTCCCGAAGGTTAGATATAAATAAATAAATAAATACATATATATATATGTATATATGATAGAGAGGGTTTAGGGTTTAGGGTTTAGGGTTTAGGGTTTAGGGTTTAGGGTTTAGGGTTTAGAGTAAGTCAGCCAAGGCTCGGACCTGATGGCGCACTTCGACCCAGCGCGTTCCACCACCAACGACGTCGTGTACTCTGGGGACCAAAAAATATGTTTAGGTTCAGGGTTTAGGGTTTAGGGTTTAGGGTTTAGGGTTTAGGGTTTAGGGGTCATATACCCTATACTACCATCATCCCTAATCGGATATATGACACCCTAGACCCTAAACCCTCAACCCTTCTAGGGTTCCTCATTCGTCCCCTTTCAGGTACCAAGCCATCATTCCGGAGTCCCTCTGGGGGGATCAGGGGAAGGCCTGGCCGAAATCTTGCGGTTTAGGGTTTAGGGTTTAGGGTTTAGGGGTTAGGGGTTAGGGTTTAGGGTTTAGGGTTTAGGGTTTAGGGTTAGGGTTTAGGGTTTAGGGTTTAGGGTTTAGGCCTTGGCCGAAGTCTTGCCGAAGCCGACCGCCTGCCTTCAGCAGATGCCCTCCTTCCGCTCCGCGCCGCGGATGGTGACGCACCACTGGGCGAACCTTTGTCAGAGTTGGGTATCATTTTACATTTTTAAGGATACTTAAACCCAGTAAGGAATATAAGTCGAAGCTTTTAAGATTATCCCAACCAGGTACTTAAACCCAATAAGGAACATGAATTTAAGGTTTTTCAGGGTACTTAAACCCAGTAAGGACTATAAACTCTAGGCTTTCAATAGTATCCCAACCATGAACTAGGAAAGGGTACTTAAAGATGTTTAGGGTTTAGGGTTTAGGGTCTAGGGTTTAGGGCTTGAGGAACCATGAGCTAGGAACCGATTCCGGGATCTTGTGGCCGTGGTGGTGGCAGACAGCCTCGGCCTCAGGCGCTGGGACAGCATCGCCGAGCTGCTGTCGAAGGGCCAGACAGCGACCTTGGCAGCTTGGTGGCCCAGTGGTTTAGGGTTTAGGGTTTAGGGTTTAGGGTTTAGGGTTTAGGGTTCCCTTACAAAGTAACCAACCAAAAAAAGGGTGCCCTTATTGTAGTATGGTTACTGGGCTACCAAGGCGGAGAGGCTTCGGGACCAAGGCAGCCAGAATTGGGAGTTTTGGATCTGTGCCCTGTGCATCAACCAGCACGCCAGCATCTGCGCCAACGCCTCTGGTTTCGATACGGTGACGGGCCAGAAGCTGCCACTATATCCCTCTTGGGAATTGTTTTCTGTTTATATTAAACCCAAGAGGATACTAACAACCCTAAACCCTAAACCCTAAACCCTAAACCCTAAACCCTGAACCCTAACATACCATTTCTTATTGAGGTTGTAAGGGGAGTCGAGGCCATCCTGCAGTTGCCTGACGCCGAAGTACCTGAACGACTCGAGAATCAAGTGTGAGCTCAACAAGTTCGACAGCATGATGGAGCACCTCCACCAGAGCTTCGGCGATGGCTTCCTGCAGGTCATCGCCATCGACAAGGACTTCGTGGCTCTTTATACTGTAACTTTAGAGGTCCTTGGCCTTTTTTTGGGTCTTATTTGGGTTTCTTAAGAAGAAAAGTTGATTTCTGGCTACCCTCCTAAGTTCAGCCTAAGAGGACTTCAACATCTTCTCCCGCGCCTGGTGCCTCGCAGAGCTTGGCCAGGCCTGCGCTAACCAGCTGGATCAGCATGTCGTGCTTCACTCCCCTGAGACTTTGTCATAGTCTGGGTCTTGGAGTACTATACTTTAATACTTTTTTTGGTTCTGGGTTCCTATTATAGCTACTTATACCTAAAAAGTATATACTTTTTTTCCAGGGTCTACTCCAAAGCTAAGTAGTTGGGTACCATTTTACATCATTAAGGGTACTTAAACCCAACAAGGAATGCACATTTAGATTTTTTGATGTTATCCCAACCATGAACTAGGAGATGTTGGAGCAAAACTCCGGCCAGCTCGACTCCCTGCGTGTGGAGGACTGCGCGTCTTCCAGGCCCGAGGACAAGGAGGAGATCCTGGCCAAGATCGGGTCCGTGTCGGAGATTGCCAAGTTCAATGAAGGCTTGCGCCAGCTCCTGCTCGGATCCGAGGGCATCTCGGATGCCCAGTGGTGCCCTTTTTGGGGCCTTAAGGTTCCCTTATGAACCCCTTTAAAGCAACCCTTATTCCCATTTTGGGGGGAGTTAAGGTTCCCTTAGAAAACCCCTGTTAAGCAAAAAAGAGGGCACCCTTCTTAAGGTTTCCCTTATGAACCCCTTTAAGCAAAAAGGAACACAACCTTCTTAATCCTAGGTTGCTGGGACAACCCAGGATGGGCTCTTAGGCCTTAGAATCCCCAGAATGAACCCTATAAAAGGGCCTTTGAAGGGATTAGAGGGTATTATCGCCCTCAACCCTAAACCCCTTTAAGCAAAAAAGAGGGCCCCCTTCTTAATCCTAGGTTGCTGGGACAACCCTAAACCCTAAACCCTAAACCCTAAACCCTACACCCTACCGAGGAATCTTGACTGGATGGCAGGATGGCGAAAAGCTGCTTTTGGATGTGGGAGCTATTGCAGCTCGAGCCTTGGCTCGCTTGGGTTTAGGGTTTAGGGTTTAGGGTTTAGGGTTTAGGGTTTAGGGTTTAGGGTTTAGGGTTTAGGGTTTAGGGTTTAGGGTTAGGGCTCCTGGATGTGTTGCAGCTCGAGCCTTGGCTTTCTTCTGGCTGGACTGTGTTAGAATAAGGGCGAGCATCCCAATTTTGTGTTTTTTTGTAGAAACTGCAAGAAGGGGCCTAGAAGTCAAACTTTTCGGAAGGGGTTCAGAAGTCAGCCAAGGAGCCGGAGTGGACCCTTACTCCCTATTTTCAGAGTCTAGGTTCCCTTATACAATCCCCTTTAAACCAAAAAGGGCGCCCCTTTTGATTCCTAGGTGACTCTTGGGTCTAGCCCTAAACCCTAAACCCTAAACCCTAAACCCTAAACCCTAAACCCTAAACTTCCTTAGTCAGCCAAGGAGCCTACGCCATGAACAGCCAGAGATCTGGTGAACTGGTGCAGGCACTCATGGGACTCTACCTTGGGCCCTTGAGGTGGTACCCTTGGGTTTAGGGTTTAGGGTTTAGGGTTTAGGGTTTAGGGTTTAGGGTTTAGGGTTTAGGGTTTAGGGCTACAAAGCATACATCCCCTGCAGGCACAGGCGGACGAAGGTGTGGAGGATCTCGTAGAGCTCTGAGCATGAAAATTATGAGAGTCTTCACATTGGGATGTTCCCCCTTATACTCACAGTCCTTATTCGGGATTTTTAATAGGGGGTACAATAATTCCTATTACGGACTGTTAGGATAAGGGGGAGCATCCCAGCCTTCACATACTATTTTTCTGTTACGTCGCGTGAAGAGGTCGTCGCAACAATCTGCCTTGTTGGTTTAGGGTCTAGGGTCTAGGGTTTAGGGTTTAGAGTTTAGGGTTTAGGGTTTAGGGTTTAGGGTTTAGGGATAGGGTTTAGGGATAGGGTTTAGGGTTTAGGGCTTCTAGAATCCTAGCAAAGCCCCAAGAGACAAGATTTCTTCCCTGTAGACTGTCCCTAAGGGCCCACGTGCCTAAAGCATACTTGGGCCCCAAGTCGTGTGCTAGTATTGGAAGTATAGAAATACGACCTGTTTGGGCACCCAAACTCCCTTGGGATGAGTGCCCTCTATTTTTGATCCAATCCCGGAAAAGCGCCGCGCGTTGAAGTCATTGTACAGCTTCGTGTTGGCATGCGCCTGCGAATGTAGGCAGCTTACCGCTTTCCCTCGGAGTTTTTCCTACGTCTCCGTGCGCACCCTCGCTTGCTCAGGGAGTGAAGAATGCCGAGCCACGCGAACCTGCATCTGGGTTGGCCTTGTGAGTACACGGGGTCCCTTATAAGCACGAATAAGGAATATCTTGGGGTTTGGGGTTTAGAAGGGTGTAGGTGTAGAGTTTAGGCTTAAGAGTTTAGGGTTTTGGGTTGGTGTAGGGTTTAGGGTTTCTTAAGTCATGTCATTTGACAATCCCAAAGGCCAACCTAGGCCTTTCATATAGAGAGCTTCTTGACTCCACCACACCCCTCGCTCTAAAACCTGAGTTTTCCCTAAGCCCTATAACCCCTATTCTCCACCCTAAGGCCTAGCCCCAAAACCCTAATCCCTAAGCCCTAAACCCTAGCCCTAAACCCTAAACCCTAAACCCTAAGTCCAGAGTAAGCAAGATAGTTCGACGTGCAAAGGACTGCCTCGACTCCGGCACTACCGCCTACGAGGCGCGCCGTCCGCAACCCTCAGTCAATCTGTAGAGTCTAACACCGGGTTCGGGGCTTTGGGATGTTTAGGGTTTAGGGTTTAGGTTTCGGGTTTAGGGTGTAGGGGCCGGGGCTTAGGGATGTTTGGGGTGTAGGTTGGTCTTCAAAGACCCGTTCCAGGTGTAGTTTGGCCCAGCTCACGCCAGGCTTGGCCAGACATACCCTAAACCTTCTCTCGGGTTATAGGGTTTTCGGGTTTCGGGTTTCGGGTTTCGGGTTTAGGCCATAGGGTTCATACGGTTCAGGATTTAAGGTTCCACAGCTTTGAGAGGCCTGAGCCCTAAGCCCCTTGGTTCCGAAGTATCGGCACTTGGGTTGTGCACAGTATATTCCACATTTAAGGGCCCATGTAACTACCCTGAGAATGTGGGGGCGCCCAACACCGCTGAACTTCGTATGGTTAAAGGATTGTCCAGTTGATGGAGACAAGTCTATTGAGTGCAGGCCTTCAGGCTATCCCCTAAACCCTAAACCCAAACCCCTAAACCCCCAAACCCTAAACCCTCAGGCGAATCTTGCTCAGAGAGCTTCGCGCCTCTTTTGCAGGACAGGAGCAAAGTTAGCCCGTCGTCTCGATTTCGAAGCACAAGATCACGCCTCGACTTCAAACTCCGCGAGGTTGACCGGGATTCTTCGATGTTGCAGCTCGCGGATCTGTCCGTGAGATTCTTCGGGAAGGTGCTGAACCACCCGGCCGGATCCCTAAGCCCCAAACCCTAAACCTCAAACCCTAAACCCCAAACCCTAAACCTCAAACCATAAATACCAAACTCTAAACCCTAAGCCCCAAGCCGAAGGTGCCTGGACGGGTTTTGAACGCAAGCACGGTTTTGCGTTTAGGGTTTAGGGTGTCAGGGTTTCAGGTTTCAGGGTTTCAGGGTTTCAGGGTTTCAGGGTTTCAGGGTTTCAGGGTTTCAGGGTTTCAGGGTTTCAGGGTTTCAGGGTTTCAGGGTTTCAGGGTTCAGGTTTAGGGTTTATAAGGGTTTAGGGTTAGGCTTAGAGTTCAGAGTCTCAGGGTCCAGGGTTTTGAGGTTAAGTGGGACTGACGCTTTGGCGTTTCGGGTTTAGGGCTAGCAGTTTGTATCCCTGGAAGATTGTGGGATGATAAGAAGGGTTGCTGCGTTCCAGGCTCTGGGAGCTGCATGGGGAGGTGGGGTTTAGGGTTTAGGGTTTAGGGTTTATGTTAAAACCTCTGCGATACTTGCTTTGCCTGGGTTCAATGACGCTTTGGATCATCACCACGTGCGTGACATGGCTGCTGAAACATGGTCCATTTGAGATTCCCATGATGAATGATTGTTCTGCAACTCTCAACAAATGTCTCGGCGAACGCTTTTACGTTACGCCAGCTGTCCACTACTATAGGCCGTAGGGCTGAAGCTATTCAGGATTTTAGGGTGTCAGGGCTTAGGAGACGATGTTGTTTAGGTTTGAGATTAAGGGCTGCCGTGGCCCTCTTAATCCATAAAACCCTCCTAAAAGCTCGGCACAAATGCAGCATAACAATAACCGTGAGAATACGCAGCACCCATTGCAACATGAAGCATAGGAAGTCCTAAAGCCCTAAATGAAGGCCCTCAGCAGAAGAAAGAACAATATCAGCAACTTCAATAGTAGTAAACATGCACTCGTAGCAACAATGACACGTACGGTATCGTAGCAGCAATAAGAGCCATCATGGCACACCCTTCGCCCTAAACCCTAAACTTTCAACCCTAAACCCTAAACCCGCAACCCTCAACCCTCAACCCTAAACCGCCAGGGGCTCATTGGCCTCGACGAACTTTGGCGCCACAAGGCGCCCGACATGGGGACGCGACCATGGGTTGGGGTTTAGGGTTTAGGGTTTAGGCTTTAGGATTCAGGCTTTAGGCTTTAGGCTTTAGGCTTTAGGCTTTAGCCTTTAGGCTTTACGGTGTAGGGTTTAGGGTTTAGGGTTTAGCGTTTAGGGTTTAGGGTTTAGCGTTTAGGGTTTAGGGCTTAGGGCTTCAGGCCCTAGGCCTAAAGCCGCAACACCAGATGGACGCCTGAATCCCGGTAGCATTTATTTGCCTTAACTACGCGTGAGCTCCAAGCCCAGTAGAAAAGCCTATACATCGGATCTTGACGCCCGATTGAAGGGACTGCATCAGCCAAGTGCTTGGCAAATACGACCTCAGCGTTGTTCGCAGCCCTCAGCTGAGAACGGCAGACCATGCGCTCTAAACCTCAAACCCTAAACCCTCAACCCTAAACAGTAAACCCTAAACCTTAAACCCTAAACCCTAAACCCTAACCCCTAAACCCTAAACCCTAAACCCTAAACCCTAAACCCTAAACCCTAAACCCTAAACCCTAAACCCTAAACCCCAAACCCTAAACCCTAAACCCTAAACCCTAAACCCTAAACCCTAAACCCTAAACCCTAAACCCTAAACCCTAAACCGTGGCCGCCTTACAAGGTCAACATCAGCAAAAGAGGCGCTGCCGAGATGTACTCAAGTGGTCACGCCAACGGAGAGTGGTTTCAATCTGGCGACATGTGCCTTGGAGGGCCCTAAGCCCTAAACCCTAAACCCTAAACCCCAAACCCTAAACCCTAAACCCTCCATACAGCGCGTGGGTACAGATGGCGCCATCTATAGACATCGCCGAGTCGCCGAAACCGCGTGTGGATGCAATTTCCTGGGCTTAGCTTATCAGGAACCCCAAACAAGAAAGTTGCTTCTCATCATTGCAGTTGCCTGTTGGCATGCTGCCCCGGGAAAATTCGGAGCCCGGTAACCTCAACAAGGTCAACATCGGCTCTTCATCGCCCAGCTTGCTAATGGTAGCTTCCGGTGCGAGTCGCCCGATCTGGTCCCTAAGTCAGGGTTTCTCTTGGGTACCCGGATTGCCCTGTTGGGCTAAGCCGGCCATCGTTTAGCGAGCCTCGCCCGGCCCTAAACCCTAAACCCTAAAACCTAAGACCTAAACCCTCGTTCTCTGCCAGGGAGTCTACTGCTTCTACGTCCTTCCGGACGACCAGGCCATGCAACTCACGGATTCGTAGAATGGGGTGCTTTGAACCCTGCAAGTTCGATGGGGTAGTTTAGGGTGTAGGGTTTAGGGTTTGGGGTTTAAGGTTTAGGGTTTAGGGTTTAGGGTTTAGGGTTTAGGGTTTAGGGTTAGGGTGACTCTGTGAGCTCCTGTCACAAACTCCCTTACTAAGGGGAGACTAGGGATGGATCCTAGGATCCCCTACCGGGCTTTACCTAGGACCCGAGATTGGGCCCTTATTCCCCCTTTTTGGCGGGTTTAGGGTTTAGGGTTTAGGGTTTAGGGTTTAGGGTTTAGGGTTTAGGGTTTAGGGCTTAGGATGGTTTAGGGTTCAGGGCTACTAGGACAGATAGTAGGCCCTTGTTCCCTTTTTTTAGGGTTTAGGTTCCCTTATAAGCCCCGTTAAACCAAAAAGGGCACGCTTTGTTTTGCTCCCAGGTTATTCTCGGGTCTAGTTTCTGTCTGAAGTTCTAGGCCATGTCTCAGTCCGGGCTTATATGAAGCAGGGTTTATATTACTGTTCTTGGTGAGTGTATATAAGGTTCCTTTTTAAATACTGGTGAGTGCATATATTGGGTGTCCTTTTGGGGGTACAAGAAATATATACCCTACGTCATATAGGCTTCTATAATTCCCCGAAGCCCCTTCCCACTCCCATTTCGGAGTGTGCAAAACCCACCAATGACCAATGGGTCAGGGTATAGGAAATTAGAAATCTTAGGAATTTTAAAAGTTTAGCAAGTTTACAAAATTTCGGAAGAAGTTTTGGGTCTCTGGAAAGTTAATCTTGGGAGGACAGTGTCTCAGCTGCCCAGCCCACGTCGACGGACACCACTACTGCAGTCAAAGCTGCCGTGAAGCCCTAAACCCTAAACCCTTAGACCTTAAGCCCT